CTGAATTAGTAGCGGGAGTTCATCGATCTTTCAATTCACAATAATTCGAAAATTAGATAAGTAAACAAAATATCCTCCAAGATGTTATAAATAAAAGATTAAGTAAGTAAGTAAAGCATGAAAAGTAATGTGAAATGTATAACATCAATTCCAAACGGCCTCAAATTCTTCAAATCTCTCTCGCTTCAAATTCCTTTAAAATATCTACAACTTGCACGTTCGTGGTAATTATTTGAATACGAGATAAAGTCGCCGCAAAGCTAAAGGATAAAGCTCCCGGCCTTGATCAACTGCTGAGAGATGTGCCATGCATTCGTCTTCAATTTTTTACTTCGTTTGAGGTGATTGAATGCACATCTGGCCCTTGACAATGACTCGCGGTGGCTACCCGCTGAACCGAGTCAGTGCTGTTTATCCTCTCAGACAAGTCTGACACCAGTCTGGTACCAATTTACCGACCCCGAAGGGATGGATGGCTTGGCGAGCGATGAGCGCGAGATCGAACCATTGACCTCGTGTGCGACGTAGAGCACCTTTAAGGTCTTCATAATATAGAGATATTGAGATACGATATCTGAAATCTTTTTACGTATATAATGAAGTCCATTACAGTACTGAAAAAGTCTCTTGCTATACTCTAACAAAACATTTTTGTTCATTTTTTGTTGTCTTTCCTAAAAAGACATCAGTATGCAAATAGCCAAAATATATCTTAGAAAGTGTGGTTGAAAATAAAGATAAGTACAATTATTAGTAGAATAAAAAAGACTTAGTATCCTATAACTCACTTCTCTTTCGATGTTAGCCCTGGTAACACCTCGTCTCGATGTCGCATAACGCCGTTTTTTGATGAACTTTGCCGCAAATTCTTCACCAGTTACTTTATTGACTACTTTACGTACGACGGCAAACTGTCCACTATAATAGAAGATGATTGGTAACTTAGATTAACTGCTCAGTTATCCGTGTTTTAGCAGTGCATATAGCGCACCCGGCTGGAGATGTCATGTAATAGACTGGGAGACTGGGAAAAACAGGCTCCATTCATCCAGAATCATTAAGTTGGTACCAGACTTGCCTGATTGGATAAAAACACTGAGCTGATCACAGAGGCTGCCCTATAGTTATAGTACAGACTAGAAACGAACTCAATCTCTTCTGCGGTATTATGAGTAGAGATAATGCTTGATACAAATTCTATAAAGGACTAGTCAATTCCGTTGACCGTTTCATTTTTCATTTGGTTCTTAAACTACTGAGAAACAAATTCTTAGCAAAGTCTTTATTGAAGGTTTTGAGGTAAGCACTCCACAGGCGTTTTTTCAATGGATTTTACGCTACATTTAAATGAATGGAAAAAAGTATCAAATGTAAGAAATGAAAAGAAAAATGTTTTGCTTCGAACCTGCCAAGTTCATCACCGATATCGAACACTGAATCGAACGGTGTTTCATTAAATTTACATTGCGGCTCCTCGGAACCACCGATATTCTGATGCCGACGTAATTCGTCGCGCATCCAGTCATGAAATGGGAAGATTTGCCCCAATTTCACTCCTCAATAATCTATGGAGTTTTCCTGAAACTATCAGCTTGTACAAATAATCGAAACCATCCAGAAACGGAAAAAGGTATTGAACGACGAAAGGAAAATTCGACACGAAAAGTCAATGAAATTCCTTTTATGTACGTTGAAAAACTACACGTTGTAAAATACAGACATAGAGGATAAAATACAGATATAGAGGATGAAAAAAAATGACATTTGATGAAAAAGAGATTGAAGTTCCTATATGAGAAGTTAGTGAATTCCGTCTAGTACAAATCTAACGATTCAATTGAATAAGATGGGTAGAAATTTTGAAAATATAAATGAAAGAAAACACTTCCAAATTTTAAAAAACACAATATGAGCGGAAAAATGAAAAACGTATATGATAGCGGATTTTGAACGTATTGAAAAAATGAATAATATATGAGCTACGAAAAACGATCACCGTCATTGATTGGAATAGATTCGATATAAAAAAAGAGAAAGAAAAACAAGTGAAAAAGTCAACACGGGGATATTCTTGGAATCTGAGCTCATCTGACCTCAGATAATCAATACCTTGTCGCGTTCATGAGTTGATAAATTTTGGCATCGAACTCGTGTAGGATCATCAACACAACATGAGGAAATAGTAGTGTTTCTACGTTCTATCCCAATTGTCTCTCAAGAATCGTGAAGTTAAAGTAATGCACAGAAGCAAAGTAGGAAAATGATATCGAGTAGAACAGTAAAGCATGTTATAACATATGTACACAGCAAAACGATCAATACACATCTAATACGCTGCAGTTTCATTACTATCGAGCAACAGAGTATAGCGGTGACTAATAAGAGTGATGGCTGAGCTTGAGTATCTACAAACTATTATTCTTTAGAGGATAGCAATTGCATTTGCAGAAAATCTTAAGATTGCAAAAAAGGTAAATTAAACGTAAAGTAGACGAAACAATATAAAACGAGTTTATATATATATTATATATATATATATATATATAGATAGAGAGAGAGAGAGAGAGAAAAAAGAGATTTTAGAGAACCCTAACCTTCACACACAAGTGGGAATTTTGTGCTCACAGAGAAGGGAGAAAGCCTGACGGAATTTTATCAGCAGACATTCCACTGAATCTTCAGTTGTTTTGTGACACTTCATGTCTCTTTTTCCATGCATTTCTCGAGAGCGACTGCTCTTTTGCCATCTAGAGACAGTTATTGGTTGACTTAAGCAGCTTTGTGTCAGAACACTGTAATCTCAAGCAGCGACTCTGCTCGATAAAATTTTTTATTTCAACACTCTTTCAGCAGTGTTATAATGCTGTAACTTTATATCCATTGATATTGAGTGTTATTGCAAAACGCTCGATCCCAAACGGGAGTTGAATCCGATGCCACCGTAACATCATTGAACACTTCTAAGAGAATAAAGTGGCGAACAAGAGTACGACCTCAGGCGGGAGTCGAACCCGCGTTTCATCCATACCGGGGCGCGTGCTACCACTACACACCCCCGACCTACGTTCGCGTCACCACTCATTCTTCAACATCTCTATGTTAGATGTATCGTCCCCGCCTATGGATGAAACGCGGGTTCGAACTACCGTCTGAGGTCGTATTTTTGCTCACTACACAATTTTCTTAGGTGTATGTGAAACGATCATAACACTGCGAAAAATGCAGCAAAAACACTAAGAATTTCGAGTAATATCTTGCTCTATTGTTCGCAAGTTATTACTTCAAGAGTTGTTACTTCATTCTGAAATTTGTTCAAAATTCAAATTTTCCGAGAGAGATACTAATCACGAAATCCAAGTCATTTTCTTGAATTTCGAACGCGATTCCAGCAGTAGCCAAAATTAATGGTGGCATTCGGGGACGTCATCAATACGTTCTGCCGAGCGTTGCCGACCATCATTGTTTAATCGCTCGCTGCCCAAAATACGCTTGCGATACAAAAACAGAGTAGGAAGAAAACTGAGATTTTCTACGCCACAAAAGATTATCCTCATTATAAACAGATAAGGAGCAGGTGTAGGGTCTTGTTGCAAAGATACTATAAATTTTGATAGCTTTCATTGCTATTAACACATTTGCGACAAAGCTGATTTATCGAAAACAGACGGCCATTTTTCGATCACAGAAGTTTTTTATGGTTCATTATGGAAGAAACTTTACTTTACTAGAAGTTGAAAATTTGAATTTCCTAGAAAATGAAGATGAAGCTGAAAGGTTCAAAAAGAATTTTAACGTAGAAGAGGCAGCTGCAAGCACTAACGATGTATCGGAAAACATCTTGTTCTGCTGGATGAAGTCTTCACTAATCATTGCTTTCGCGTTCGAAATATGAGCTCTGAAGCAATGAAAATGGGAAAAAAATTGTTTTCATAGAATTCAGAAAATTGGAATCTCATTGTAGAAAAACAAAGGATATTTTCGTTTTTAGGCAAAAAATTATAGATTTCATTACATTTACCTTGTTCAAAGAAAGTCACTTTGAACTAAGATACATATTTTCAATGTTAAAAAAGCAATTAACTCAGAAAAAAAGTCGGAAAAAGTGAATTCTTTCGAATGGGCCATTCTTCTTCAAATCGATGGCTATAAAGCGATATCCAAGAAAAATTTTTGGGAGAACAGAAAAAAAATTGCTTTCAGAAAAGGAAGATTAGAACAAACAACTTTTCTTTTCAATAGGCGGTTCACTGAAAACGGCTGTACCCATCAATAGAGAGCCCTGAATTCAGGGAAAATTACGAATTTGTGCCTGCGAAGAAAATTCCCATATTTTCTTGAATTTTCTAAGATTTTATCCTTCACATTTGTTTTATATTCACGAATAATCATTGAGATACATCAAATTCATGATGCTCGCGTGACAAAACCTCACCAGTAAAGTTAAGGCTTTCAAATAAACATGCAAGTGCTGTAAATTAGTTAGTTGTATGACTCATCAAAAAGGAAGCGAATGATCCGCAGATTAATGGATGATGATTAATTAGACTAAAAAGAAAAGTGCTAAAAGATAAATAAATAGACCGTTTTCATTTAAACACTCGATAAAAAGCAATAACCAAAGATTATTGAAAATCAATCTCTATTCCACGAATAGAACGGACTTGTTAGTTCAAGGGGAACGGGGTGGGATGAAATGGGAGGTCTCTGCATCCCTCAGCCGCTCCTACCAGTCGACGGTTTATCGCTGCCGCACGTGGTGAACATCGCGAGAGAGAAAACTCTGGTGAAAGTGGTAATATCGAGAGTTTTTTTATAAGCCTAAGAGAATTGAGTGAGTGAGCAAAAATATGATCTCATACGGGAATCGAACTAGCGTTTCAATCATATCGGGACGAATTTTCGGATTTTTCATCACTTGCAAGTTTGACCAAAAATTTTTCATTTCACACGAGCAAGCATAGCTAACATAGAGATACTGCAGAATGAGTGGTGGTGCAGATATCTCGGTGGTGTAAAGGTAGCACGCATCCCCGCTATGGATGTAACGCGGGTTCGACTCCGGCCTAAGGTCGTATTTTTGTTCACCACTCAATTCCCTTAGGTTTATATGAAACATCATAATACTGCGAGATAAAGCAGTAAGAACATTAGATTTCACAAGAGAGATTTTATTCAGATAATTTATGGCAATGGTTAGTTGGAAGATTTTAATATTGAAGAAACAACTCGATACAAACATCTTATCCACGCAGGTATTGATTCGAACATCATCGAACTATTGAAAGAGTGGTACAGGTCAGTTTGTCAATAATCATAAGTTTTTGCCTCATTCGGCCTGATCCGCTTTAGTCAAACAAACTCCAATAACCGTGACGCTTGTTTGGACGCCAATGAAGACTTCAATCTTACCAGATCAAACATTTGGTGATTTCCAGAATGACAGATTTCTATGGATCAGACGGGAAACATAGAGTCATAACAAATTTGTCTCTTATAATTATTTTAGTCATTACTAATATTATTATTATGCTTTGTGCGAAAATTCCATCAACTCCATTATCCGTCCAAGACATAATCCTATTGTACTTGTGTTTATCTATGACCAAGTAATTTCATAGACATTTTGGAAATCCACTTTCCTCTAACGTCGGCACTGCCAGTCAACAGACTTCCTCAATTATTTAAGCTGAGAAGAGATTCATAACAAGTTTTATTCGGCTAAAATTACGATGTCATCTTTTTGGAGTCGATGATTCGAGTCGCTAGTCTACAGTCGTTCGTCATCGTGTTGTGGGTTTTCGATGTCGTTCAGGTTGAATATTCCTTCAGTAAGGCATAACTCTAGAGAAGAATCTCACTCGTTAAGGCTCTATGTACTGGGTGATTGCCATACTAATTGCCCGATGATAGTGATTTGTTTCCTCCAGAAAATCTATCCTCAACAGTCGATATGATAACCACCTAACACTAAGCATGAAATGTTTTGAAATTTCGACTCTGAATACTATCTACGGAAAATTAGCGGAACAGCCATCCTGTGTAAAAGGGCACCGCCGAATGAGGTTTTTCATCTAAGCGGTGCTCCATAGAGAAAAATTCGACTCGAACAACAACGATAATAGAATTCACAACGAGGACGAACTACTAAGGACAACCAACTCGACTCGTCTGCTATGAGGAAGACGAAGAATTCGAAAAGTTAGCCAAATAACATAAAAAAAACTTTATAAAGTCATTTAAATTCATACATCACATGATATTCATTCACTACATTAATGATGATTTATTCCACTACCTGCGTATTAATATAGTCAACATTTACATCGATATCGTCAACTAATCACACTAGAGCCGTCATTCTGGAAACTCCTCGTCACAAAAGAGAAGAAACCTTCTAATCCAGAAGGATGCTATTATTTATCATGGACATCCCGGTCATCCAGAAAAAAACCACACTCAAGTATTAACCATTTCAGCAAAAACAGAAAACGACAGATTACAAAGCCGCAGCCTAATCCATATGAAAGCCCGACCATTCACGTCCTTCGACAACCGTTGCAAGACAAACGAAACCAATAGGAGTGCCAGCAGCTGCACAATAAGAGAGCAACCTATCATCTAAGTATTTATCTAAGTAAGTATCTACTGGTAGTCATTATGACTTCAAGCTTTTGGAAGTAATCAAAGTGGAGTAGATGTTTTGACTAAGGTTCTTATTAAGTGAATAAAAATAAAAAAAATCTGCTGTTACAGATACGATCAGTTAGTTATCTCGCCACTATCCCATATTCTACAACAAAAATCGCCTTACTATTACTAATCAATCGTTCGCCTTTACCTAATCATGTTTGTAAACGAAAACTTCACAAAACTACTATGTTATCAGTTATCATCAATGATTCAGTGATTGAAAGCCTAACAAAAGAAAAATTCAAGCATTCAGAATGTAGTTACCACTTTTGAAAGAATGCATTCACAAACGATGTAGCGACCGACGACTATAATGTTCAGCGGGTATCAGTTCATCTGATGAACGAAAGGATATTATGATAACTTAAGGTTAACAGTAACACCAGTAAGAAAGAGTGACAGAGGTTAATGCGGTTTCGAGGGTGGCAATGTCGTAGAGGAGACATTCCTTCACTCATATTGATGTTGGTGTGCTGAAATAAAGACAGTAGCGCTATTGAACGTCACAATTAACGCCTAGCCATTCCATGCAAAAGCCAGAATTGGGCCTTTTTTCCCCTAAATTGGCATTTGGTTTTTTTCGCAATAGTGGTAAAACTGAATTGCTGTCTTAGTCGCATGTTTACCACTTAGATAGGAATCTTTGCAAATTACCTACAGGCTTTCTTTTTCCCGCGATAAATTTCTAACTTCATCAAGCCCGAAAAGCCTTTTTTCCTTTGTTTTCCCGCTGTGGCTCGTAATTCGAGAACCAAAGTAATTGAACAAAGAAGATTATTCTCAACACAATGTGATGGTTTCGTCGATCGAATATGTCGCTTACTGACGTCGATGTCACTCTAGGACTTCTAAAATTTGATGCACGTCCCAATGCTTCCAGATTTTTGGTTCTAAAACTTTGGAAAAGTCCACTATTATCCTCAAAAGAGAACGTACATTTTCTTTTGCATTTTCATGTCAAAAATTCAAAAAAGAAAAAAATACTCCATCTTAAGCATTATAAAAAAAAATATCGGTAAAAAAAGTCACGCGTCAAAAAAATATCGGCAGGTCCAAAAGTTAACTCTGAAAGCACTGATAACGCAGCTAGTCAAAATACCGTGACTTATTGAGATTATTTTTCTTTAAGTATTTATATCCCCATTTGAAGCCCAGTGCACAAGTATTAACAAAAAGACCAGCGCAGATGAAAAAATTGTTCTCTACCAATTCCAAGGTTCAATATAAATTCTGTCTCTGAATCTACCACTTTAGCATCACTAGTTCTCTCTGAATTTATTTTACAACTTTTCGAATAGTTTCGAAGAAAACCGTCAATCACAAGAGCACCAGTATTAGTGCTACTTCAATGGAGAACCAAAACAACGGTGCTCGAATAAGTCCATATCAACATAAGATTTGTCACTATCCAACTACAGCAACCAAGCTCCCAACACAGTTTTGCAAAAGGTAAGCCCACGGCCGGGGTCGAACCGGCAATCTTCTGATTAGAAGTCAGACGCCTTATCCATTAGGCCACGCGGGCTGTTGGCCTAGCAGCCCTGTATTTCATAATTCGGCCACCGCTATGGCGTGCACTTTTGAGATCTGTTCAGAGATCAGCCTTATCCACTTCGAAGTCAAGAAAAACTTGCTAATGTTTGATTTCTTTTAAGATCATTTTTCTTGATAAACCAGTTGTCAGATAAGACTACAATTATATCAAAGAATTTAACTTGTATGCATGCAATATGTGCTTACTCGACCTAACCTGTTAGAGGATGGTGACTGATAACTATGCCAGAGAGATTTCGAAAAATGAATGGCGCGGCGAAATGCTGCTCTCGATGGTGTAAAGGTAGCACGCGCCACTTGGTGGGGGTTGGAACTTCTCAGGTTCAACTCCCAGTTCATGGACCAGTTTTTGCCCACCACTGAGTTCGCCTAGGTGGTTTTAATCCGCAATCGTGAAAATTGCTGGGTTTGAGCAGCCAGTAAAAAGTAAAATTAGATTGCTGGACTACTCAATAAGCGAAAAAAAAGAAATAAAGCTTCAAACTTGATTAGCATAGTGGTAAGGGAAGAAGTGAAAATTGTGAAATCAACAACTGGAAGAATAAATGAAAATTGAAGAAAAAAATTCGCGATATCGAAGTTGTTCACGACGAAAGACTCGATGTTGAAATCGATCTCTAACAGGTGAAGTAGTTGTTGTTCGTCAACTGGTCTCCTAACAATGCCACCACATCGAATATGACAATTCACTGCTACGTTGCTACTCGTCTACAAATTGTCGCGCCGCCTCTTATTTGTCGTGGAAATCATCGGAGATCACAAAATCATGGACTTCCAGCATCATTAAACTAGTGAATATTTCGAATTTATAATGACAACTTCAGCGTCACGAAACGTATCGTAGATAACACCAACGAAAATATCGAAAATCAACTCACGACGCATTTTTTTCTCTCAAAAATTGATGAGATCTTAATTATACAGTAAAAAAACTGATATAAAAATTATTGGCGAGTGGAATTTTTGCATCTTTTGAGAAAAAATCACTTCGTTGCTAAAATTCATAAAATCATACAGAAAAATCATCAGCAAATTAAAATATTACCATATATATATGATGTAAAACAGAAATGAATAAATTATTTGTAAACAAACATCAAACTACAGATGAAATGACAGAATAATGTTAAAGAGTAATAATTACAAAATAACTTGGTGTGCGGTGATATAAAAGATTGAAACAGATTAAAAGGCAATGAAAAAGTGATAGATTCAGAGATATGATTAATATCGTAAAATATAGAAAAATAAATAGAAAAAAGGATGAGCAACTGATGAGAAACGTTATACAAAAGTAAACAATCGAGAAAATAAACCAGTGAAATGAATCATACTGCTTTCTTTACACCTTTCGTTAGGTGGATGAATCAACAAAAAATAGAGAAGCTTACGAAAAGCTGAATAGAGTATCTGATTCTTCACATGAGCAAAACTTTTTTCTTTCTGAGAAATGAAGGCTTCCACTTCCATTAAAATCAAAGTGGCTCGGCCTCCTACATTGCCCTGATCGGGTTGGCCGACTAATTCTAGGGATTGATGCCGCTATAGGGTCGACTTCTATTCACACAGCGGCACTCGTCACAGTCCGTAAAGGATTGGACTACCTGGGACCCTAGTGTGGATAATTCTGTAACTCAAGGACAACCATACTCATATACGTCGCTAGACATAACAATGACAAAAGATGACAACAGGTTTACAAACCATAGTTGAGTCTATGGACAAGATAGCCATCACATCAATCTATGACAATTGATGCAACCACAGTTAAACCAGTAGAAGAGGTGGGAACGATAAGGTCTGTGTAAAGGGCTCATTTAGAATTGT